AAAACTGGAAGATATGCAAGTGAAAAGCAACAAGTTGGTAGAAGAAGCATCAAAGATAGGACTTCAGGTGAGCATAGAGAAAACAGAGGTGATGAAGATTCCTGGCCAACAGAGACAGCCACAGCAACAACAACAGACAACAATCAGCCAGCATAAATTGGAGGAACCTGAAAGAAACAACCTCCTTCACCTACCCACCTACCTGGGAAGCATCGTTTCGACTACAGGCAAACGGAACTAACGAGGATATCAAAGCAAGGATCGGAAAAGCAAGACAAGCTTTCATTACACTTAAGTCTGTGTGGAGATCAACATCACTCACCATCAAAAATAAGATCCGGATTTTCAACTCCAATGTGAAGTCACTGCTACTCACCACACGGATCAGAGACTTGGCGAGTCATAAAGAGCATCTCAAACAAACTTCAGACCTTCATTAACAGCTGTCTTCGCTCAATACTCAAGATCAGATGGCCGACTAGAAAAGAACAGTAACAGGGAGGGATCTCTGGGAGCGAACCAACCAGGAACCGATTGTGCAACAAATAGGCAGGAAGAAACTGAGATGGATTGGCCATACTCTGAGACAACAAACCACCAAGTGACATCACTAGACAAGCCATTGCTCGAGTGGAACCCGAAAGGGAAGCGGTGAGTTGGTCGTCCAAGGATGACTTGGAGGAGGTCATTCAAGGAGGAGATGAAAGCATGTGGACAGACTTGGAGCGGGGTGAAAAAGTTGGCAGAAAACAGAAGGCAATGGAGGTGCGCAGCTGAAGCCCTATGTTCCTCTAGGAACTAAAGGATACAATAATAATAATAATAATTTATGCGAACAATACCTTGCTTTCAATTAGATCTCATAAAGCTTAACTCTAATACGCAGACATAACTTTATAAATAAATATTCAAATATGTAAACCAATCAGGGTGTTTTGTCCATAGGATAATAAGGGTTTTTTTCTGTGGTTGGTTTGTACGGATTAGTTTTGTATTCACTCGTAAGGTGAATGAAAGCCTCTTCCAAGAATGTCGACATTGTCGAAATCAATCGTATTTCCTCTGTCTATCGCATGCATTGCTATTGCCGATGTTTTTTCTAGACCTTTTAAATCTACTTCATTTTTAGGTGGATGTTTCGTGCATAGTCCGTGTTCATTCACTCTGACCTTCACCTGTCTACAGCTCTCCCCGATATAGCATGCTTCACATTCTGAACACTTTATCTTATAGACACAATTACTTTGTGACATTTTGGGAACCATATCTTTGACATTCACCAAAGCTTCCTTCAGAGAATTAGAGGGCTTGAAATAGACTTTATCTAATATTATATGAAACAAATAGTCTTTGAAGTTGTTCAGCTGTGTCCTTTCGATATAGAATGGCTATTGTCAATCGGTAGCCTTTTCTGTTTTCCCTTATGCTCCTTCTTTCTATTGATAATATTATCTAGTAGCTTTTCCGGATAACCATTTCCAATCAAAATCTGTTTTATATTGGATATTTCAATCTCCATATTATCATTATTTTTGTTATAATGTTTCTAGCTCTGTCATAACGAGATTTAAAGCTACTGGATGATCTGATCGGGAATTCAAATATTTGTTGGAATGTATCGGCTTTCTGTATAATTATAAACTTTAGTTTCTCGTCAGTGTTTTGTCTTTTTACAAGACCAGCCAAGAATTTTAGAGTTCCCTCAGCCGATTCTACTTCATTAGTAAACTATATATATATATATATATATATATATATATATTCTCAGATCAAGTTAGTCTGTGTTAGAAAGTGTTATGTACTCGTCGCCAAATTATTGTTATGTACTGGTCGAGAATTTAATAGTCCTGACGCAAAAAAGACGGAAATCAGAAGACCACTAGGTTTGCGATGATACTTCTATATTCCAAACACAAGGAGAACCAAATATGTATCACACAATAGTGTGAGAGCAAAATATATATGAATGTCCGAACAAGTGTGTGAACAATCAATAGACAGTCTTAACATGATTGGCTAATTATAATGGAGTATCGATCCATATATACATAGCAAAATATAGCAGACATGTCAACAAACACACATATTATATATAATATAAGGGGATTATACATTGTTAAAGGAGACAGGTTCATCAAAGTGAAATGGTCACAGACTAAGAGAGCAACAGAAAGAGAGACCACCATACATATATATATATATATATATATATATATATATATATCAGAAAGTTTTCTTTATGATGATAAATGTGGATAGCGTTATTAGAAGACGGGGATTATCAGAAAAATGTGATGAATTTGCGCTAAACATTTCGAACAATCTGATCCCTCACACATTTACTTTCCAAGTTGATATACATGGAAAAAGTTAAATTAAACGAAGTGATGAAAAAAAGGATTTAAGAATGATTAACACAACGTTTAGTAATCCAATCAAATAGGGATTACCAAGGTAGGTTAAGAGTAATAATAGACTGTTTTTAAACTCACAGCGGAGGTGTGGGGGCGGGGGGGGGCTTAATTTTATGAATAGCTATAGCCACAGCGTATTTCAGTAAACTCCCTTGACCGTTTTTATAGATGAACTTAAGGCTGAGTTAACATCAAGCTTATGGTTCATCTCAATTAGATATTTAGCTATAGACGAAGTTGGTAGTCTGACACATACGTTTATTAGTTTATCACAATTCATCTGTTTTTCTAATCATTTTGGGATATGCTCTCCCACCCTCACATGCAAAGCACAATTACTCCTCCCTATGTATGCGTGTCCACACACACACACGAAAATTAATAAATAGTGTGAGATGTGACATAATCACTTGTGCACTTTTGAGGCTTGCAGTGGAGCGTAGTTTTAGCTTTTTCCACATTTACAAGCTGGGCTGCATCGTAGGTTCTACGGATGATTGAATTCAACCTTTGTCTCAAAATCCTACTTTTTATTTCCCTGTTATATGGTAATCTGAAGAAAAACATTTTTCTTAGTGGTGGTGTAGATTCTAGGTTTAAAGACTAATTGACTTCTACACCTGTTTAGAAATTTTAAAGGATATCCGTTTTCAACAAGAGTGTCCATCAATATTTCATTTTCTTTCTCCATAACATCAGCTGTGCAAATACGTTAAATCCTCTTAAACAGACATTTCACCAAGTCTCTTTTATACTTCTAATGAACAGAAACTGTGAAAATTAAGGTACTAACCTGTCCAAGTGGGCTTTCTGTAGATTGATCGTCTTATTGAACCATCATCTCTCCTACTCAGAAGTATGTCTGAAAATGCTAGCTGGTTGCGACTTTCTTTCTCGCATGTAAGACTAATATGATTCGGCACGGAGTTAAGTCTGTCTAATAGACGACTCACATCTTCATGATCGTCGCATATCAAAATGATATCATCTACATATCTCCTATAGAAGGGCAATTTAGAAATTAAAACAAAGGACAAGTTCCAAACATAAGACATGTAAACGTCCGTTAACAAAGGTCCTATTCATAAACTTAAACCCTTCTCCCTGTGTATTCAAAAACAGATTGTTATTACTCTTCACCTAACTTGGTAATCCTTATTTGATTGGATTATCAAACGTTGTGTTAATCATTCTTAAATCCTTTTTTTTCGTCACTTCGTTTAATTTAACTTTTTCCATGTATATCAACTTGAAAAGTAAATGTGTGAGGGATCAGATTGTTCGAAATGTATATCTCAAATACATCACATTTTTCTGATAATCCCCGTCTTCTATTAACACTATCCAAATTTAAAAAATGGGACTAATTGTTTTAAATTCATGATAAATGTGTCATCTACATATCTGTATCGTATTCTGGGATGATAACTAAAACTTGTCAGTGCTTTTCTTTCCAGAACTTTCATATACTGGTTTGCTACAATTGTTACATCTTACACAAGTCAGATTTTAAAAGTCTAATTGTTAGTACTTAAGATATCGTTACTCATCTTCCATTTAATTGTTGTTTTATTTTTAAGCCCTTTGTGTTACTGTTGTGTGCGTTATTTGACTAAACTTGCGTACACGTATATTCTAGTACTTCTTCAGTTTTATTATTGTGCACAGACGTTGTGGCTACTCGACGCCCACAACGTAAAACTAAAAGGCACTTGCGAAGAGTACGAATGTCTATTATAGCCGTAGTCAAATTTCGAAATTGTATCAAGGTAATGTTCAACAGTACGTTGACAAATTTTTGCGAAGTACATATAAAATCGGTTTGTGTACACATATAATACAAGTATACAAATTAGATTAAAAAGCATATTTACAGTTGGTATAGGGGTACTACATTCCAAGTGTAATGCAAGGCTTTAAGTTTGACCTCTGTCGTTTCAGTAGCGACGGTATACCTTTTTAGTGGATGTTGGGTGCTAGGCTGACATTCATTGATCACTCTTTACTGGACTTACTAAACGCTAGGCGAGATTTAGGTGTACGTCAGCGGAGAAGAGAACTCAGGACACTTTTTATGGATGATGAGCAAGCAATCTACCGTTCAGTCACATCGATTCATTTAACTGTATTACCAGAGCCTTACATATGTAACAACAGAAGACAAGGGCCAGGCAACAGATCATTTTATTACGGAAATCAGCTCGTATTTATATATATTTTATGTAAATTATTAGAGCGTATTCAAGTAGACAAACGCAGTGTTGTGATTGGTTGTTTCTCGGAAGCTAAGTAGACAAACGCAGTCTTCTGATTGGTTATTTTCGAGCTTCTCGGAAAGTGGAGCCATCTATCTGCGAATCATATTTACCCACGTTTAAGTCTGCTGTGATTGTTTGTTGAATCAGCCTTGTTCATATTTTCTCACGGCCAATATTAATGACCTAGATATTGACGTTTACCAATTGGCTAGCAGCCTGCTCTCACCACACATATCCATTAGGCGGTCATCATCGTTCTTCTTTCTTTAGTTAATTTAATCAATTTTCAAAGTTTAATAATGATTTTGTGTCATTTCTGTATTTCTAGGAAAATTTCTGCAAAACTTAGTGCAACAAATTTCGGAGATGAATTGCGTCAACATGCACCAAATGTTCTATTTCTTGCACCAATTGATATGGGTTGGAAGACAAGGGATGTTGAAAATAGTTATACAGAAGAACAAACTCGAAAGGTATGTTAAATATTTGACAAACCTCCGAAAGGAGATTAGTAGAAATAGATTATTTAAAATTATACCAACAAAGGTTTATATGTAAAAAGAGGGACATCTCTTGTTTCTTTAAAACCCTTGTCCAGTCATATGAGTCATGAAACAGGCATCGACATGCATAATAAACAAACAAAATATTATGAGCTGTGATCCAAATTTGATCTCAGACTTACAAACATTGTTCTACTTTTACGAGTCGATCACAGATTGATATCAGTTAGAGAAACATTGAAAACTACCCTCAGGGAGTACTGGACAGCTGTTTCATCAGCCTAGTTTGGGAATCATCGGCAGTACACACCCACCTTACAGGGGGTTCAAACCTAGGACCTTCCGGTTACAAGCAAGCAACCTCCTATAACATTCAGCCACTGGGACCGGATTCAATAGCTCAGGAATTCTACTTTTGTTAAACACTTTAAACAGTTTACTTTTGATCAAAATTTTAGTGAATACGTTCGACTAAAAGTCCATGGTCGTGGATAATTGAATATGAAAAAATATATGTGTATATGCGGTATTGTGCGTCGGTGGCACAGCGGTTAGGACGCTCGCCGACCATGCACATGGTCCGGGGTTTGATCCGCAGCCACTGGACGCACTCCTTTACCTCGCTAAGCCAGAAATAATGCTGATAAAGAGGAAATGTCGAGTATGAGGCTAGCAACCCTATCCTGTAAAATAAACACTGCTACAGAAACTTCAAGCCACTAGCTTGAAGGCGCCCTATGTTCCACTGGGAACGTGAAGGAAAAAAATATGCGGTATTCAATGGTGTGTGTGTGTATGGGTAAACAATTGTAAATCATTTGTTAGCCTCTCCATAAGAAGATATAAACAATCAGGAATTCAGATCAAATATGACTGACTAGTGATATATATATACGTTTTTGATTGGTTGTAGGATTCCATCATGAGTTGACATCATTAAGAGAACCAGTGGAAGACGTTTTTATTTATTAATCAGGACTTGCCAACATGCATCAGTTAACAACACACCTTGACGTCTCTTTTAAACTGTTGGGATTCACCCATATATGTAGGGTTTCTGCAGTCAGTCACTCTTTCTTTATGCGAAACCAAAACCTTTTAGTAGAATCTATTAAAGTCGATTTTGTGTCCCGTTTCTATCGAATGCAGGGCAATGCAATCGCTGATTTGTTTTCTAGCTTCTCTAAATCTTTGCAGAGGTCTTTGGAACCACCCTTTTCACCCTTATATCTAACTGTCTGGAAGTTTCTCCTACATAAACGGCATCACAATCACCAGAATTGATCTGGTACACACAATTCTGTTGGTTTTCTTCTTCTATTTTATCGTCTTTAACCTTCACCAGTGATGAGCGTAAGGTGTTAGTTTCACGAAAATACACTCCTATTTTGTCATGATTCTTAAGGATTCGCTTTATTTCATCGAATGTTTCTTTGAGGTAAAGAATCACCGTTATACCAACCTGAATCATAGCAACAGATTTCGACTCATCCTTATCTTCACATTTTAAATATCTTTTTATGAAGGCTTTAGGTTAATTATTTGATTCAAGAGTGGACTGAACTAACTGATGAAAAGTACACTCTGTTTGAAGCGTTTAACAAAGATAGACTGATATCTGCAAGTCTAAGGTCAAATTTTGATCACAGTTCATACAATTTTGTTTGTTTATTATACATGATGATGGCTGTTTCATGACTCATATGATTGGACAAAGATTTTAAAAACAAGAGATCTCCCTCTCTCTAAATATAAACCTTTGTTATGTTAATTTTGATAAATTTCGCTGAAGAAGTTCGGAGCAGAGTGCCGAACACACGAAACGTTGGCATCACTCATTTCAATTTCGCTGAGATTTTACAGAAATAATTTTTACAAATCTCAACTTGTTCATCAGTTAACTTATTTGATATATAAATTTGTATTATTATTATTATTGTTATTCCCTTAAGTTCGGAACGGAACAAAAGAACTTCAACAGAACTATTCCATTCTACTCTATTCCCTACAATTCCTTATAGCTACATTCATGACTGCTCAGAAGCTTTTGTCTCCTCTTCATACCCGAGCTCAACTTGTCACTCGCTTCCCACTTAGGTCCCATTTGAGGGCTTGAAGAGTCACGTCACTCAGTAATCCCCTCAGTGCATTTCCAATTCACCTCCATTCACTTCCACAAATTTGTCGTACATTAGTTTCTTGGTTATTTTTTTTTTGGACTGTTAGAGTTCCTCGTTGCTTAGGCTTTCTAGTCGATCATCTGATCTCTGATTGAATAAATATTAGGGTTTGAAATCGGGATCTTGTTTAGTATGCTGAGTGCAGTAGATTTCCACACAGATTTCAGAGTAATGAATGTCCATCTCGTTTTTCTAATTATGTTCGGCTTTGGTATACTCATCCGCATGGCCTGCAGTTGAAATGATACAACAAAAAAGAATCTAAATTAAGTTTTGTGAAATTTATATAAATTAGAAACTACAACTAGACATGAACAACAGGTTGATTTGACCTTCCCTTGTTAAGCTAACAGACTAAAGGTCCCCTTTCATGGGAAATAAGTCTGAACTTTAGGATTATGAGAACAAAGAACAACAGATGGTCTACGAACCAAGGTGTGACAAAAAGAAGTACCTTCTGATAAAGCTGTAAAAAGCGTGCTTGAGTCAGTATACACAGATCGAACTTGCAGGACTTCATCCTCAAACCAAAATTGTTAAGAGGTATTTTTTGACTGTGGATTTTGAGCATCCATACAGAATCAAGCCTAACTGTATTCTCTAACCTATTTAGAGTATAGATGTTCTGTGTCAGGTAAGATCAGAGGTATATAACACCTTCTTCTCAGAAAGAAAGAATGCGTTCAAAATGGGTCTGTCTCTCTGCGCTTGGATCATCTCCTGAGTAATAGCATGGGCATGAGATGTCGACGGGACTGGATCCAGGAAATTGTTTAATTAATCTATCTGCAGTAGCCGTCTTTCTGTTTAGTAGTATGGCATCGTCAATATTTACGATATTCGAAAGGATATGACTTGACATAGGACCAAAACTCCGGAGGGCCGTCATGGTGAAGACATTTTCTGCTACGAAAGATTAGGTGGATTCAATCACGATATTAGTCCTGCTATCCTCTGACTGTGGTTGTGGGCATTTGCAAGATAGTCAGGTTACAGTATTTGTCTAATTAATTTGCACCAAACTTCCGATTTGGCAGTCTATCTATTCAACTATCATCTCTGTCCACGAAGTCCACCTTAACTGGGTCTTCGTATTTGTGGGATTAAGTATCGATCGTAAATTCTGATATACTGCTTCGAAAGTTATCACTGGCTGCAGACGAATAGGGAAGGGAAAATACCTGTAGACCTGCAAGCATCTCCATCATCCTAAATTATTACCTGATCGGTTTCTCTGAGCTTGAAGAGTCCAAATCACGTTTTACCATTTCCCAAATTGATATGAACGAATAGTCTACTGCTGTCTGGGTCTGATAGCATAGTTCGGTGTGATGATGTAGGTTGATGTGACCGACAATAATTATTATATTATGCCGTGACAACTGTTCGATACAGGAAGACGATGACTAACTCGCCTGAAGAGCAAATACCAAATACTAATTTCCAATCACTCCTAACCTCTACAGATAGAAGATAGAAGACATACAAATATTGCATACCTCCAAAAGTTGAAGCTAACAAGTAACCAATCACAATTAGCTGATTAAGGTCAAGTTTCCACGTTGTCCAATCATATTGTAACAAATATCCTGCCTCTACCCAAATGGCATAATTGATCCATTCTAATTTAAATTCTGTCTAAGCCTGTATGTGTTTGAGCCATTCTAAAATCGTTTAAAATGTGATTTTTGTAATCTTTCAGCTTTTACAACTACATACCATACCACATGAATTTTTTGGTGGGAATGATGGTTTTATTGAACGTGGAAGTGTTCTTGAAGTTGAATCATTACTATCCTCTGATACGGCAGGAAATAAAGTGAAATTATTGATTAAACGTACTCCAGATGGGAATACATTTATCGGTCATAAAGACTTACAAGAAAATTTATGGGTAAGTGTAATTTATTTAAGTGATTCGATTTGCAGTGTTAGTTAGTTGTCATTTAATGGTGTTTTTATACAAACAGGTTTTTAAATCTAGGCATGTATGAGAGAGGCAATAAAGTATATTAATCAAGTATTGGTTTGTTTTGGGATTTTTTGTTTGACTGGCTGGGAGATTTTCTCATCAGCTGACATCAGTTAGGGAACCATTGGGAAACCTGGCAGTACTAGACAGTTGTTTCTGAGGTCCTATTTCTGGACTCTTCAGCGGTGTGCACCTACCGGGGTTCAAACCCAGGACCTTCTGGTTACAAGGTCAGCGAGCTGGTAGACCATTTATATATATATATATATATAAATTGAGTGACTTAAAAGAATTAAGGACAAAGTCAAGATTATTTCCATAGGGAGTATCAGCGGGAAAGGTGAGTAATATATTATTATTATTATTCCCGGCGAAGTTAAACTTTCGACACCACTAACTACCTATCAGCGAATTATCTAATGAGATTCACGAACGTAGTTCAATGTTGTAGAGCGCTTGATTTATTTCTAATGCGTGAACGGCTGCAATTTGAGGAGGTTAGTGTTTTCTAGTATTGCTTGGATTTAAATTGCTCCGGAAGGAGCGAACTTGTTCTTGTGTTGGTATCATGACTTTAAAAAGCTATAGCAGATCAACTGGTGGGATTGTTCATCGTTGTGCTATATATTTTAAGCATGCTAATATCAGAAAGGGTAAGCTGATAGTTTTAATATTTCGTGGGAAATTTTTCCGCTAGGTCACATCTCTCCCTAACCCAGATTTTTTATATCTGCAATTACTGGGTGTCGAAACAGCCGGTGAGAGCAGCAGCTGCCGAGACTGAGAATAGTCATGTCTCAACAGTTTAGTGGTACCAGCATTGCTTCGTGTAAAATAGAGACAATCACTTGTTTGCTGTGGATCCCGTTACGAAGACTCATACGAATTCCACTGAAGGTTTTTGGGGCCGCTTGAAAAACAAGATAAGGGCTATAAATGGATCTGAAAAGGATCTCATTTACAGCCGTTCAGATGAATACTAGTACAGGATGTGCTGTGACTTCGCCATTGACAGTCACATGCTAAACTAGGGGACGTTTCTCTCACATATTCGAGAAAGATACTCCTTGTAACCGTTTTATCCTTCTTTAGGCTTTTTTCTATAAATATGCGTTTCCATTCATCATATATGCCTATTTAATGTGATTGGTCCGTTCAAGGTCGTTTGCTGATTGGTTGCTAGTGGTGTCGAAAGTTTAACTTTGCCTTATTCCCTTTGGTTCCGAGTGAAACATAAGGCTTAAGCAACATATTTCCACATTGTTCTGTTTTCTGCCATCTTCTTCAGCTTGGTCGGCAACTGTCTATAATCTCTCATCTCCTCCTGGCCGCACGATCTCCTCTATATTACCCTCACACCAATGACCCACTCATCCTTTCCCATTGGGATTCCATTCGATGGTGTGGAGTGCGATGTCATTCGGTGGCCTCCTCGATGTATGTCCGATTGATCTCCACTTTCTCCTACATATTTATTGAGCGATCAGTTCTTGGTTGATTTGTTCCCGGCCACAGTTTTTTCGTGTTACTAATTCTTTCTGGTTGGCTGACTGGCCATTTGATCTTCAGTATGGAGTCATCAAAGGGGGCAGTTGTTGATGAAAGTCTGCTGTAGGCTGTTGGGGAATCCTTTTTCGTGACTTACAGTGCAAGTTTCTCATCTATTTGTGTCGAACAGAATCCGAATGTTGTTCCTGATACTGAGTCATTGCAGAAGGTTTCCAAACTGGTTTCAAGTTGATGAAAGCATATCTTGCCTTTCCGATTCTGCATGGCTTTGATATCATCATCCGTTCCGGCTGTAGTTGAAACGATGCTTCCTAGATAGCTGAAGGAGGTAAAATCAATAAAAATTTTAAAAACAACACACAACTGACAAAAACTAATTATCAAATAGGTTTATTTTAGGTCTCCTTACCTTATTTACATTACTGTTCACAATACAATACTATTTTTCTAAGATTGTAAACCCTTTGTTCCAAAATAGAAGGAAAGCATCGAAATATTTTAATAACTTTTTTTTCTTTTTCTTTCTTTTTTCCCTTTACACCTTCAGTCTATGGTGCTGGATTGGAATCGAGTTGGAGAAGACGGTGTAGTCTGGTTCATAGATTGGCCAATGAGATGCCCAGAACGATTGTGTTAACATTATATGAACATAGTACCTAGAAAATTACTGTTAACATTATTAATAGTCTATCAAAAACTCAATTTTTGTTAAACCATTTATTATTTCTCTAAAAATGAAATAGACAAACAACAGTACTAATTAAAAATCTTAGGATATTAGTTTGGTTTATTTAAAATTGAAATACAAATATTTTAAGGGACAAATTATTTTTCGAAAATCACTTTACCAGTTCTCTATTTTTCATGAATTTATAAAGTTTTTGGTAATTTGTCGGTAATTTGAAAGATCCGGACTATGAGGATGATTTAGGATTCAGGTGACACAGCTGACGCTATTATTGCAAAAGGTTTTCGGATGGAAGGAAAGGTGCTTACTGACTGGAAGAAAGGCTGCCAAAGAAGGGTGACTTATGCCTCTTTAAGAATTGATGTGGAATAATCCCCCTGTTCACACCAAGTAAAATATTAAGTCGCATTATCCTTGAGAGGATAAAAGATGCACTAGACACAGAAATCGCCCTGGTAGAACAAGCTGGGTTCAAGAAAGGTAAGTTATGTGCTGATCAAACTGAAACTCTACGTATCACAGCCCCAAAAGAGCATGGAATGGCAGTCAAATCTGTCTCTACCCCAACTTCATTGACTTCCAGTAGGCCTTTAACAGATGGCTTTAACCGAGAGGTAATTGGGAAACTACTCCACCATTGTGGAATGCAGTACCCCAAATCTTTGTCAAACTTATTTAATCACAGCTATGTGACAGTGACACGTTTCAAGTAATTCACAACGGAAAACTCAGTGAAGCCTATGAAATGAAGACAGGAGTAAGACAAGTCTGCCTATTATCTGCCGATGACATCTTAGTTGTGGTGGACTGGATTATGCGCCAGACTCTAGGTTACGAGCGAGAAGACAAAAATTCATTGGATTAATAATAAAACTCTAAAAGATCTGTACTTCACGGACGATTTATGTCTTGCGTGATGTAAACCTGAACATCTACATGGAGGAACCAACAAGTCAGAGAAGGCGTCAAAGACAGGATTCCAAGTGGATATAAAGAAGACCGAGGTGATGGAAACAACCAACCAATAGCAACAAGCGTCCGTCACCACTAACAGGTGAAGTATAAAAGAATTCACCCCTTTCACTTGGCTAGACAGCGTCATTCCAACTACAGTCAGGATGAATGAGGATGTCAGAGCCAGACAGGAACTGGAAACTATCACAGGTGCTGATTATCCTGAAATCAATGTGGAAATCTACAACACTACACTTAAAGAACAAGATTCAGATTTTCAGTACTAATCACAACTTTTAAATGACACAGAGGAATAACATGCGCGTCACCGAAAGCATCTCTGATAGGCTTATGAAAGCTTTGATCGTCAGTTGCCTTCATTTCATGCTGATGATCAGATAGTCGGCCAGAAAGGAGAGGCAATATGGAACTCTAGGGACGAAGGGAGAAGGTGACAGTTTATAGGCTGTCGCAGAGACATCTAAAGGTGACTTCGGTAAATATGATGAATTGGAGATGGGCTTTTGAAGTCCTACGTTCCACTCAGAGCCTAAGGGAATAATAATTGCAATCGGCGGTTCACCGGCAAACTGCTCGTCAATCCTGCACATAGTCTGAAGTTCGGTTCCCTACTGACGCACCCTCAAATCTAGTAAGCCCGGAAAAGAAAGCGAAGCTTCGGTTTTAGGTTAACACTCTTACCCCGTTAAAACAATACCATAGCTCTGTGTTCCACTGGGAACTCAAGAAATGGGGGAAGAAAGTCTTGGTAAGATATTTGGTCATAAAATTTTTCAATGTGTCCATGAATGTGTTACTTCATATCGATACTACAAAGTGTGACAATAATAATAATGATAATGATAGGGGTTAGTATACTTAGGCAGAGGTAGAAATCTTTAGATGAATCTAATCTTAACACGAATAACAGGGATGACCCACCATACGTCTCAAAAACTTATCAGTTATTACTACCAGTAAAAGTGAAATGTCATGGTGCCGAGGATTTATGAAAACAAAGCTTCAATTTTGTATCATAATCTTTTCAGGATGATCAACGATGAGTTTCACTTCATTATTTGAAGTTGTTCTATTCGAATTCATGTGAAAGTGATCTCGTATCTGCGCAAGCTACCTTACTAATCGGTTTCCGAGCGAATCATAAAAATTATCATTGGTGTGGTGAAAGGAGGCTGTGAGCCAGTTTGTAGACATTAATTTGCGTCAATGTTTATGTCCTAAATATTGGTCGTGAAAAAATATGAACGAGACTGATTCAACAACCGATCACAGCAGACTTGGCATAGGCAGATACAGTTAACATATAGATGACCTGACATTCACGAAACGGTCACAAAGTGAATATATAACACAGCCTCAAGTGGTTTACTGGTTCGCTAGCTTTGAAGCCAGTCCCACACCCGAGAAAAGAGGGAATTTCGGGTATGGGTCTAGCAACTTTGTTGCCGAAGATCAACCTAATCCCTACAGAAACTTCAAAGCACAACAAAACCATAGAAAATTAACTTATACTTCCCTTGAATCGGTCAGACGAATTGACTCGACGGGCTGGTGAAATATTTCGGGAATTCAGCCAGCCACCGTGTGTTCTCCTGACTAAATTGAAAACAACCATGGGGAAGTGGTTGTGTACCAGGTTGGTAACGCTGCCCAGCCAGAATGCAGAAGAAATAAAAAAATACGGCATGGAAGTGTAAGGAATCTGTGAGAGCAGTTAGGATGGTTGTGCACTATCCGAATTGTCAGTCGGAGAGTCGGTAATCTACTCCGTTCTGGTCACTCAAACGAGAACCACGAGCACACTGAGGCAGTGAGTGGCTATAAATATGTCACCAGTGGCAGCCAAAGCCCTAATGCAGCGGGAACCAATTTCACTCAAGGTTATGGCAGCAATATCCAAACTAAAAAGTTTACAATTATTCAGTGTCACGCACCTGCAGATAACTCAGAACAAGAGGAGAAGGCAGATTTCTAAAGACAACTACAAGCGGTAATGGACAACATCCCAAATGATGACATCAAAATGCTCATGGGAGATATGGATGCGAAACTGTGACATGCTTGTACAGGGAGAGAAATCGTCATGGGTGGAGAGACTCTGGCTCGGAGAAAGGAATGAGAACTTAGAATTATCCGCAGACTTCTGCGCTTCCAATGATTCGGTGATTGAAGGCAGCATGTAATAATAATAACATTTCATTCACATAAATTAAGCATTTACATGATTGATATACCGTTTGTACGGGCATTATCATATTTGACAAGTGCGATTTGAAATGGAACACTTTTATGACATTAGAAATGCAAAAGATGGAAAAAACTCTAGAAACATTATGATGTTTGCGATGTTTACTTTTGATTGAATAAGTTACACGATATTGGTTTAATTTTAATCTATAGCATACTTGTCGTCAGTCAACTTCATGCAGGAATTACGAAAGGTGTTGAGTACGTAACAATGTGATTGTACACTTTTTAGGTACTTGTATAAATTCGAGATATTGTACATAATTTTTGTTTAAATCGCTTCTTGTTGAAATATACATAATTTCCGTGTACAATTGAAAAATACACTCTGCTGTTGGAGACTTCGTCTTCTCCCTGGTCACTTCTACTTACTTGCTCCACTCACACCGTGTTGTATACTTCGGATTTATTGTAGGAGCCTACTACTTTCAACCGAAGACATTTCTACAACCGGAACACAGCAGCTACAGCAGACGCAGTCCAAACAGTTAACGTGCCTGTGGATTATATAATTAATTTGTAGCCGAGGACTTACACTTTATAACCAAGTAATCCTTTTTGTTGCTATAACTCGTCACTGTATTTTTGGTAATATATTGTGATTTAACACTCCACTGACTTGGATTATTACTTTTATACTTGGAATGTTAGTGAACTCTAATATTAGTCCCCTACAAATTAATTGGTGAGCCCGATAAGAACACGGATTATTTTGGCATATTTATATTCTTATTTTTGCTATTTTTATATTCATTGTGATTTTGTGTGTGGTTTATATTTGTATCCTAATTTGCACCAATAACCTCATATTATAATGTCATCACCTCAGTCCGGTACATCAAACGAGCAGACAACTAATAGCGAGACAAATGCCACAATAAATGCCATCACTGATTTTCGTTTACCCCAATACGGTTTCGCAGAACCAAGGATTTGGTTTGCGGTAATTGAACCGTTGCTAGAAGCACGGGGCATTAAGTCCCAAATAGCCAAATATGGTATGGTGCTGGCAGAACTCCCTCCGTCAGTATTGACAGAAATCAGCGATTTCATCGAAGATCCTCCGACGGAACATCAATTTGATAAACTTAAAGCCCTCCTCATACAACGTACCAGTTTGTCGGATGAGAAAAGAATCCAACAATTGCTCACAGGCTGTGAACTAGGCCCACGTAAACCATCCCAGCTGCTCAGGCACATGCGCCAGTTAATCGGACATCATAAAGTAGACGAGGTAGTGCTGAAACAGATGTGGTTGCAACGTTTACCTAGAAATGTCCAGCAAATTTTAATCATCTCAGGAAAGTCGTATGACTTAGACCAACTAAGTGACATGGCAGATAGTATTTTGGATGTTTTATCCGATAACACCATAAGTCACGTAGCATCTGATAGTGCCACACCGTGTCATTCCACACCCACGGCAGACACACCGATACTCGCCGCCATTGCAGACTTAGCGGCAAGGATTGACAATTTGGAAACTAATAAGTCTGATCGACAAGTCCGGAGACGGAGTTCACAAAGAAGGTCACCATCACGACGACGATCCTTCTCACGACAGCGTTCTTACACGTCTTCTCGGGATAGCAATATATGCTGGTATCACTGGAAGTTTGGACGTCATGCCCTGAAATGTGTAAAACCGTGCAGCTTTAGCGAAGCCAACCAGGCTCAGGGAAACGCCTCAGCCAGACAGTGATGGCGACAGCTGTTACTGGCAAGCA